GTATCTGCGGGTATTTCTTTTAAAGGGTGATCGGTAATTCAGCGGGAAGAGAGATGGATACAAAGGAAGGAATTAACACAGGGCCACAGCAACGCCTGAAGACGCCTTACAATGTGACGAGATGGAGATAGCAGTGGCGTTCTGCTCTATCGCTCCCAGCCATCAGTCTTGCTTTTTCCATTTTGCTTCGCCCTTATCATTTAGCATCACGGTCAATCCAGCCACGGTTACAGCACTAGTTATGTAAAACTACGACCGGAGCACCGAAGTGCGGTGGAGTTAGTCGACACGACTAACGTCGCCGGGTAAACAGCAACAACAAGAAAAATGGGATTGAATGATAATAGAATACAAATAAAACAGAATTAGGACCGAAAGGCGCAAACTAATCGGGATAGTGTGCCAGATTATAGTTGTTTAATGGCGCTACTTAGAATGGATGATCGAGCAACGAAGAAATTACGAAGAGCAAAGCGCATTTGTTCGCCTTCTCAAAAGAGTTATCACGTCAATCATTTCCACCTCCCATAAACTAGCTCTCCTTAGCCCTTTCTCCCAAACACCAGTCGAAGTAGCGATGCTAATCCATAGGCCGGGGATCCACAACTTCGAGTCCGCAAAAATCATGCAAATATCAGGCGCTTTCAAGAATACAGAGGAGTGTGTCTGCGTTTGTTTCCTCATTTACGTCGATATAACTCCACTCGTTGATGATACAATGCAGCACATCCAGTGTTCGTTGCTTGGTCAAATTCACTTTGAATGCCAGCCGGAACGAATTCTGCTAATATCCATAAAGAAGAAGAAACAGGTTGTGTCCATACATGCCCCACCGGAAAGACGATTGGATTCCGAACCGGCTAGCAGGTCAATGGTATATTGCGGATTAAAAAAAAAGCCGAAGCTTGACATGTCCCGCCGAATGATCAGTTAGGTGTGAGCGAAATCAAGGCAAAAAAGGAAATAGGAAATAGTGAACAACCGTAAATTGCGAACTTGCCGATTATAGTGTTCCCACCCGTTTTATGTACAATCCAAGGTTATCGTCTGTGGTTTCCGGGCAAAAACAGAGGTAGGTTGGTTTGTTTTTCTGCTGTTTGTATAGGTCGTTTGGATTACGTGATATGGTGTAGTATGGCCATTGCACTATCGACACGTGCTTTGAACACGGCTAACGTGGGGGCTGAAATAACGGTTTATGAGAGGGTATTCCACCTGTGGCAAACACGCAGCGAGAAGAAGTTCCTTCGACACCTCAACCGACTGTATTGTTCTGCCAATTTGAGATGATGACCTCTCAGTTGCTTGTTGTCTCAGCTTCAATAGATAATGGCACCGGTGATAAGGGTTGCATAAAATTTCGTAAACCATGATTGGGTCACCACGCAAACGCCGATAATGTCCGCTGAAAATGCCTAGCACACTGAGTCGCTGTTCGTATGACAAGTGGCGCAGCCCCTTGACATTTTTGGTCGCCCGACGTTGTGGAAGCTCCAAGGCCGTGAGATCCCGCTTTAGCCACGGGTGCCCTGCTTGAATTGCATATTCAACATGAGGGCGTATAGAAGCGGGAAGTATTTGGCGGAAAATCGACAACTCGAACTGTTTGAAAGCTCTCCGTAAAAGCCTCACGATTTGGATCCTCTTCTTGGATGCCTTTTTGGACTGCTCCGAGCAGCCTAAATTTTCCCGGGGCCAACACACCAAGATTCTCTTTGAGAGAACAGTGTTGCAGATTCTGGTCCTCCAGTTTATATGTGTGAATCATTCGGTGTCTTAAATGGAGCACTCGACATTTAGGCACAGTGAAGAAAAGGCGATTTTAAACCGACCACCCATAAATATTGTCAAGATCGATTTGAAGCTGGATACGACCTTCTGGAGCTCTGATCACTCGCCCAACTTTGACGTCATCGGCGTAGAGTAAACAGTTTGACTCACTAGATCGGTGGCAACGGGGTAGCCATTCAATTGTTCGTTACAATGGGCGTTAGTTACAACAACTTGTTACAATATTCTGCATAGCGCCGCCCCATTACCACATATTCGCTTCTAAGATACCATATAGGTTTGTTTGTATGTATAACTAGGTTTTGCAAGTCTCCTTGACTGACCTACGAGTTCTGTTAACCCTATGCTTTCTGCCCGTCATAAACCATTGAAAACGTGACCTAATCTGTATAAATCATTCAATCCAAAAGTCACTATCCGGAGGACTGGTTTACCCAGTGATCAAAAACGACAAATCGCTCAGGCTCTCGCGCACATTCGCCATAATACTAATCCACACATTGGTGTTAGGTGCACCGATGTCCTTCAAACTGCTAATATCACTGCTTGTTTAAAAGAAGACGTTTTGATGAGTCACATCACAGATACTGACGCCTGCGCCGTAATCCATGATCGTTTCACAGTGGGAGAAATTGATCGCTATAAACAGTAAACAGAGCTCCAAGCATAAGCAGCTGTTTCAGCGATAATGGAACCAGTAACCTCCATGTTTTACCGCTTGCTGATGAATGGTGACTTGCTAATATAGTTTCTCATTGGCAATACCTGAGTTACAGCCGGTGGGAGCCCACATCAAAATATGCGTAAGCAGAATGTGGTACAATATAACGGGAAGGAAAAACTGACCAAAGAAAAGTCAAAAAATAGAGTATTGGTGACCGAGTTTGAGGATAAACGATAATTCTCTTATTCTGGAAACTGGTTTCGTTCAAAAGGATGCACATGTGGCATTGGACACAATAATCTAACACACAAGATAGAGCGAAAACTGGGGCATACGTACAGGAATGTTCTTAAGCTTTTGCTAGGAGGAGGAGTTGACCGCAGAGTCCTGCGAGTAAATGCTTGGTTCCGGCCACATGCATCCATCGAAGATTTAAAAAATATCATAAGCACTTTCGATAGTTGAAGATTGTACACGCCTCGGTGAGTACAGAAAAATTTGGATGAGATTCGACGAGGTTAAACTTCACATTGATCAGGTAGTAATTGGCTGCAAGAGTATGGTTGTAAACCAATGATGACCAGGCCGGTGGCACGGAGACTGTGAAAACCAATGAAAGCTAGCACAAGACGAAAACATGAGAACTAAGGATATCCATTGACAGGCTGCATGAACTATGGGTCTGTGCAGTTCGCAGTGCCACCGGTAGAAGTAGTAGTCTAATCATCAGGCAGTTTCGCTCACAGTACCCATGTAGTAATCACGCGTGTTTTGTGATAGGACTGTGTGGTTGGAGCAGTCAGATAGGCTCAAGGAACGAATATGATAAGCAGGAGAATGGGAATCTGACGAATGTGCTAATCGGATACAGCAGACATAAGTACCACCTCAAGTGGCTCCAATGATTTGTTGGTGTGCCTGGCTTCTCTTTTGAGAGAATCAAAAGCGGAATGTAATCGACCCATAAACGTCACTCCAAATCAATGTATCACGAGTAAAAAAATCAAAGTCTGACAAATTCCGTAGGCGAAAAGTGACAGCAAGGCATGTAAATGTGTCAACAACAAAAAAGTAACCCATATCCGTGGACTCATCGGTTCTACCTGTGCACGCAGGTTGGTTTCGTCAGGGTGTGTCTCAGTTACATTGGCTAGGTCTAGTAGTGCATGTATGGTAATGTTTCAACAAATTTAGTTTTGAATTCAGTCAGTTTAGAAGCAGAGAGACGAAAATTGAGAGAGCGTTCCATCATTGGCACACACAGCCGGCTGTATTGCGTGGCTAACTGCAGGTGGTGGTCTCGGAGTGAGGTGTTATGACTTGAATTCAATAAGTATCGACATGCGTGGTTCGGATCTTTTAAGATCTGAAACGGCAAAAGAAGAACACCGCGAGCGCGATGGTATTGACCACTGAAAGCTTCTTGGGTTTGTAGTCTATACTGGTAAGGGAGATAAGTCAGGCCCTTAAGGTATTTTGTTGATCTTTGTGGAGTCCCAAGGGCAGCAAGATTATGCTTTTGCCAGGAGTGCCAAACCTGGATGGCGTAGGCAAAAAGGTGGTTACAAGTAAGTGTTGGTGGAATCAAACTGGCCAAACGCTCTCTGCAAGAGACCCAAGTGCTGTTTGGCTTTTCTTGCTGCTTTATCGGCCTGTTTTAAGCAACCGAGATCGGCTTGCACGAGGACACTAAGATCAGTTTCATGGGAGAAGCGTTGCAAAAGATGTTCTCTTAGCCGGTATCCGTAAGTTCTCTGGTGGCATATGATTAGTACTGGACATTTGACAGGATGCCTGCGCCTACAGAGGGACCATGGGTGGCTTGCGCTGCACCACCCGATATCCAGTGTAAACCCAAAGGAATAAGACCGGGAGGCATGTGGATGGGAGCCAGGTTTCTTCAACGGAGCCGGCCCACACTCCTTCACAGGCAAACACAAACACGCTGTATTTGGGAATCAAGCGCACACACAAGGCGGTGGCTGGAGCGTAGTCCGCTCCACACTGAGTGCATGGAACCACTCTTTGATCCTAACACGGCCACAAGAACCGTGCACCCCGTCCCCTCAAGCAACGACCAACTGTCTCCTAGAGCCAGTATGGACGAGATAGTGGGTAATAGACAGGTAGGCACCTTGTCAACATGCACATCAAGCGCAGCCACACCGGGGATTTCAAGCAACAGACAATCACTTGAAATAACATTATCAAATAAAGTATATCCGTTAAAGCATACGGCTATACGGACATAACTCTTCGCTAAATTTGCATATGAAGTAAGTTGGTTGGCAATGAATCCGCGATAAGTACAAAAAGTCCAGAAGCTACTTTTAAAATGCTACAAACGCAATAAAGTTAACGAAGATAAGCACAATTAGCGTAAGCAACGTGTGCAAGTTAATAATAGATTATTCAGATAGGCAGAACAAACCAATTAAAGTGGAATGAGATTTATTCAGCTTAAAAAGACCTAGTTTAAGTGTAATAATAAGTGTAAGAATAGCATATATATATATATATATATATATATATATATATATATATATTCCTCTGAGGGATTGACATTTCCGACAAGTTCAACACAACCAATGTACACTCACCCACAATCAAACATGGGCAGATTGAAACAAAACATACATCTATCGATACAAAAGTGGAAAATATGAAAGTCTGGCTTCGGTATGAATCCGGTTCGATTTTCTGCAGGAGTATGCAAGTATTCAAGTGACAAGCTTTGACGTGCCCGGCGGATAGCATATCGCCCGAGACCCGTCGTGATAGTAATGAAAAGTCCTGACTGATTCACACGATTTCTGTACATGGGGTGAAGTTCGGTTTGTCGTTGAGTGTCGTTGGGTCACGGACAGCTGGAAATAAAGGGCAAAAATGGTGGATAAGCATGATCCGAGGGGTGAAAACTTGGATGTAGCAGCACACTGGTGGATTCAATCGCGGTGCATCACAGTAATAGCAGCAGAGGGGGTTGCATTTCACACCACAGACCCACATCCCTTCCAGTGTATGGCACACGAACTAGCGTGAACCAGTGAGGAGACCCAACGCACACTGGGAATTTGTCAGGCCTTAGAAAGTTGAACGCTCAAAGTAAATCACTTCACTGCATTTAGGTGAGGTGACACTAGTACTACCTCTATTTCACTGAACAGACAGCAGATTTATCGGGTCCAATTCCCAGTCAGCAATGTACATGCTACCTCGATTGGTGGCACTGCAACAAAACCGGTAATCGACCATGTTGACCCAACACTCACCCATGTCCAGTGACATATGCAAATGCCTTTACGAGAGGAGCTGAGAGGTTGCGCGTTGCGGGATGGCACAAAACAGATTCCGAACACTTTCTTGGATGTGAGAAATCTCCTTCGAAATTATACGAAATTCCTCCATTACTCTTTATGTAGATTGATGATAAGCTAAGTAAAGGCACTATATTATCGGATGTACACGTCTCAAACACAGAACTCCCTCTTTGATTCCATTCCTCGGGTCAACATGAGGTTTTGTCCGCATAGCAGCTTCGTTACATATTCCCAGGTCCATGATGGGGGCTGCTGCTGCTGCTAGCAGAGCTCAATGAGCTGGTGGTCATGGCGATAGCCGCCAACCACTATGTGCCGAGTACCATTCCAAGATCAGGCTAGCTATACCTGATGATTCCGAACAAGGACGGAACCGCCGGTCCTGAAGTGCAGTGATAGGAAGAAGCAACGCCAGAGATTGAAAATTATGGAATAACCATTCAATTAACTTCCAGAGATACCGATGTAACGATGCCCACTACAGTAAGACAGTTTTTCTGCTGTGGAAAGGTTTTGATGTTGCGCACTTCAAACAGCACTCCCCGACTGGTTTCTTGTTTAGATAAACAATTCGGACAGAGAGAAACAGAGCTGGAAGTAGCTACTTTACAACACCATCATGAAATCCAGAGCATCGCACCAGGTGATGCTCGTGGATCATAACTGCCCAAAAAGCAAGGCTGGGTTGTATTTGCTAATCAGTCAATTCGCACCCGACTCCACCATTTGGCGGAACGGTCGAAGGTCGTCCCACGCCCGTACTGATGACCTTCACATGCAGCAGACAGCTCACATGCTCCGCGGTAAGCCCGCGCGTAACTTCGTATCTGAATATTGGCTACGCTTACCTCTCTAGTAGGTCTCCTGCGTGCGTGCAAGTTCAGCTTGCTAGTTTGAACCGCAATCCAGGTCGTAGTAGCGAAGATAGTAGACTTCGGAGCGGGCAGCTCTTTGTCGAGGACTGTGTGGTTGAGTTGACGGATGGCGAGAGAAAAACTTCATCGGCGGAGGTAGGGTTGTTCACATTTGAAGAATCACATAACAATGGGGATGATTGATACAAGAAAAGAGCATGTAAATTGGTGGCGTGTGTTTGTAAAGTTGGCGTAGTCGTAGGACAGCGAAGGAAAGCGTAGTTGTGTGTATCTATGGTTCATCAGTAGGCGAGATACTACCCGGTTGCCTAGGCCGAAGTACGTGGGTTAAGAGACCACGACCCCGAGCTTTTGGCTTAAAGGCCTAACCCCCAAGGCCGCAGGGCGAAATAAGGGTTTCGCACCCGTTGGGAGCCGGTGACTGAGCATTCAGATGACGAAAAGCCATACCAGGAGCCGAACACTCCAAAAGTCAAAGGCAGAATCCAATGCTCGGATTGATTGCCAGAATATACAAGACAAGCGGCAGTGAGTTCACTTAGTGGCGAGTCACATCCGCCACGTCACAGTGTTGTTAAACGGACATTTGTGGCTTTTTATAGAAGGAACGCTTGATAGGCCTAAACCCACCACGTTCTGGAACACTGCCGCTGAACCATTCGCCGTAACGGGAAATCCCCGAACCGCCCAGCTGGCACCCCGAGGAGGTTGTTCTGCAGTCCTTTCTCGACTTCTCAAAGACATTAGACCGGTTAGGCCACGGCATTCTGCTCTCCGAACTTCAGACCATTAGTATTGGCGATCCTCTTCTAGGGTGGATCAGAAGCATTGTCCTACACTGGTCTTTGGACGTCAGATTGCATTAAATCCCTATCAGATCACATACAAGTTGAACGCGGGGCACTACAGGGATCGATCTAAGATTATTTTTGACGCATATCAACAATATCACACACCTCACAAGCTCGAACAGCGTACTCTATACCCATGACATCAACGTGTGGAGGATGATAAATACAGCAATAAATACATCAGATGACATCACACTACTTCAAGCCGAGTAATATAAGGTTTACCCGTGGTCAATCCAGAATCCACTTCGGCTTAATGTGGATAAATGTAGAGTGCTGCATTTACGGCACCAGCTGGCGTGCTACTACAAAACCGACAACCAGAAGCCTCAAACGTCTGGCAAAAAGGATCTCAGCGTTTTGGTCAAGGCCGATCTTGGATGTGAAATTTAGGCTGAAAAGGGGTCAAGAAGGAGCATCCAACACGTGGGCCTCCTGAGAAATGGATTCGGACGAATCGACCTGTCGTTTTTTTAAAAGTTTCTCGCTTCATACATACAACCACGTGGAATATTCAATACAGGTCTGGCAACCATGACTGATAAGAGATCTCACCGCCTTACAGGTACCCTAACGTCAGGTAACCAAGAATGTCAAAAGTTTGAATCAGTTGCCATATGAACAAAAGCTCGAGTGCTCGAGATCTTTAGCGGACAATACAGGCGATTGTGTAGGGACCACATTTTGACTTACCAGGTTTTGAGAGATCCCAACCACACGTAGCACCGTTGGCTAGAGCTGTCACAACAGTACTCTGAGAGGCCCCCATCTCAAACTGGCAGAGCAGTACGCTGGTTTGGGATGTCGTCAGAATTTCTACTCCGTAAGCGTTTGTCAAGGGTGGAATTCCCTATCGGAATCTGTCATCTGTTCTCCCACACTGATAGAGTTCAAAGTCCGAGTTCACCGTGAAGTCATTTTGCTACACCATTTCACATGACTCATTGCTCACAGCAAAGCTTAAGTGTCTGTAAGAGATTTCACTAATAGTCAACTCCGGGAATACGTTACACTTTTTACACCTGTGTGTGGTTCACAGGAGGCGGCACGATTTTTACCAACATCCCATTGGTGACGATGAACTTACAGGTTATAATATGTACATCGCGGTGAGTCCACCGGTGTGAACCTGTGTTAAATTTCACGATAAACATCCTTTATTACCGTATAAAAACAACTGTGCCATCGCACCGAAATACAAGACCGTTGTGAAGTTGTAGGCCACTATTTGCCGGATCGCAATTACACATACTGTTTTTGTAGTTTTCACTTGTTGGGGCCCCTAAAAGAACTCGCAGATCAGCAATTTCAAAGTGCTGACAAAATGAAGCACGTTATCCCAAACTGTCCCAGACGTACCGACAAACCCTACTATGCCAATGTTCAGGCATTTGATAAACGCCAGCATAAGCTGGCTGGCTGGCGGAAAACCTCGACGTGGTGCCAGCTGGGTGGTTCGGGTTAATCCCGTTCCAGTGAATAGTTCGGCGGCAGTGTTCCAGGACGTGGTGGGTTTTCGCCTGGCAAGCGTTCTCCCAATAAAAAGTTACAAAAGTCCGTTTAGCAACACTGCGACGTGGCAGATGTGACTCGCTACTAAATAAAGTCACTGCCTCTTCCCCTTCCGGAGGGTCCCCGCTTCAGGAACATGATCCAGTTCGAAGAGTTCCTTTGATCCGTTCATACGATGGCGAACACAGCAAACCCATGAATTCAATCACACTTCACAAGTTCCCTCACCATACCCACAAACACGTACACTTACATATATACAGGCACACAAATCCAGAATGTTACTGGTTAACTTGCTATATTTTTATACAACTACCGACAATACCTGTTTGTATTAACTACCCCATTGGCTATCGTGACCCGGTAGCCAAAGGGGTAGTAGTGTTGGCTGCTATTCCAGTGGTCGTGGGTTCAAATCCTGCTGTCTCCACCTGATGAGATGAAATTACATCGAAACGCGTCGTGGTTGTGCAGTGTTTTCGGGCGGACAACACCCAATTTCCATCTGCTTTGAGTACGATCCCAGTGATCGCAGTAACTAAAGTACACTTCAATGTGAAATACGGTCAATTACGTTGAGATTGCGCGTCGCAATCCAATCCAAACTTGACCCTCCAAGTAGTAGCTACATCATGAAATTTGTGTAAAAGGAATGAAAAGCTTAAAATAGGCTTGAATTTCCTCCTATTGCATTGACTTTCGAAAGTACACAGCTTGAACATGAGGAAAGAAGAAAGTAGATACGAATGCCACCAAAGGAAACGAGGCTGGCTTTCACGTCAGTAAAGCCAAGTCATCGGGAGTTCTCGTTAACTAAATAGTAGACTTAACGATGGCAACGTTTGTGTGTTATTTGATGGGCATAGATCTTTTGCAACTCTTGTAAATGGGATAAATCGGCTTCCGCTTATCAACAATAACCGATTGGAGAATACCGTTTGGCTGTGGGCAGTTTCAGCTCTGCGTTTAAAGCCATTCTGTTAGACACCGAGTGCTTATGAACAATAAGCACGCGACAGCAGAAACGATTCAGCAAAGGCTTATACATGCGGAGTATGGCCGCGCATGGCTTGTAACAGGGGCAGTGATGCGTCTTAAGGCGGCCGCTAAGGCTAGTTTCGCGGTATCTCGGTCAGCTACGCAGTGTATGCTGTGTGCTTGTGTGTTAGTGTAACAATTCGTATGTGATGCGGTCTCTGTTTTAGCGTGCTTATTGGACCATCTTCCCTTAGTACAATCCAGCTCTGGCTTAGAACACTGCACACGTTACTACTCGTTAAGTTACTTGCCAAACGCTTGCGTATAGTGCATGCCTAGTCGGTCTCACGACATGAGTCTATTGTTCCATACCTACTCTTGTTTTCACTCTGGTGTAACTGACAGACCGCTCAGTGGTCGATCCACAATCTAAAAATAACCTAAGGCTGACCACTACCCATACAATGCCCACTGACCGCACGCAGGTTATGCGATCAATTCCCACGGGCAACGAATGTCAACAGTTCGAAAAATTTGGAAAAACGACGTAACATAAGCCTACTTTGGAGGAACACTTTCTTGGATTCATGCACCTAATGCCAAACGGAAAAAGAACAGTGTGTGCGAAGAACGGAATGAGCTCTGAAATGACCGTTTCCAGACAACCACATTTATAAGTTTTGAAATTTCCGTTGGTGCTAAGACCGTTCAACTCACTCGCCGCCGAGAGCGGTTAGCAGTGTCGGCCAATAGTAGCGATGCGTCATGTCTAACCACGCCGTGGGCTCTACTGGCGCGGTTTCTCGATACTATCTTAGGTGTTCCGTTATAGTAGCGAAATGTCAACAGCTATTTAACAAATGTGTTTAGAAACACCAATATGAAACAAAACGCGTGAGCACAATAAGAATTCCGACAGAGTTAGATGCGAAGCCATATTCATGTTAATTGGGCACTGCATTTCCATGGGTTATTAGGCGTACGGCTCAGATTGTCAAGGTTTGTCATATTTTATAGTTCACAAAAGACACCTGGAGTGCGAAATGAATCCGCTATGGTTTCTGGCAATAGTATGTATGGTTAACCGCATCAATGCAACAGTGACCGTAGGGGGATTTCCTATGTAGAATTCAGTTAAGGCACTACGGAGCGTTTAGTCATAAGCATGAGTGTGAATTTACCTTGCCGTCCAGCGTCTGAGAGTAACCCGTGCTCAAGGGCCTCAGTTCCAGCAAAATAGATGCCCTGGCTCGGCACATATGGATGAAATGCACGAAGGTTGGTTCCGTTTCTGAGGCAGCCACATCATCGAACATCTGTCCGACATGGCACCCGACAATGAGACGAGTGTGTCCATCTGTAGCGCGATTCCACTTGACCAGAAGACGATCCAACTGGCGTGTAGTGAGGCCAAGGTCTAGCAAACAAATTAGATTGTCAACTACGATCGTTGAAGTGGTAGCAGGGACTGCGTCAAGAAACTCATTCACCTGTGTAAAAGAAAAAAATCACCACGGGACTGCAAGACGTGGCAACAACATGGCCTGAATACTGTGACAATGTTACAACGTTCTCTAATCATGTAAATAGTAAGCAATCGACTGAAGCTCAAACTTTTTATCATCCGGATTGTCTCGCATTTACACAACGCTTGCCTTCGTCTGGAGGAAAAGTGTACTTGAAGGGATGAGAAGGGAGATTATTGCTACGGACAGTTCGAAGTGAATGTTGAAGCGGAACATTATCCATCGCAACAGGCGTCTAGATTAAAAGTGTGTGAATAGCTATCACCGGAGTCTAGGCATCAGCAGTAGGTAGTACCGACGCTTTGCTGCCGTGCAACCATCAGCAGTCGCATGTGGGCTAAGAATACTGCGAGGGTCACCCGGTCCCCTACACAGGCTCGAACCCGCGAGCATATATATATATATATATATATATATATATATATATATATATATATATATACATTTATTCAGAAGAGCATGAGCTATACTTTAAAAGTTATAACGTAAAGCAGCTTACCTGGATAGCTATAGAAACTAGCGCTACTGTATATCCTTGCAGAGAGAACAATCGAACGTCAGTTGTACATTATTTCATGCAGATATCCCAATCACTTTTGCGCTGATGTAATCCAATTGGGATACGAAATCGTTGCCTTACCCATACAAAAGTCCGTAGCTACACAGATCATTCACACAGTTATTTGCTCTAGAATGCGACACGCGCTGATTGCTGTTACTCACGGTGGCATCCGGCACGTCATCCACTGAGTCGCTGCCTTCTTTCTGTTCCAGTCGGTTCTCTAAAATTTTACTGACGATTTCATCGTCAACAGTTGTCAGATCTGAAGTGCATTTCACATCGCTGTCAATGGCGATGAACTCTTCTGTATTCATGACTAGGATTGTGCAAGCGCTGATCTCGTCTTCAGTGATGACTGCGTCATCAGAAAGTGCATCGGATTCTAGTCGACTGAAGCCAGCATGCCGAAAGCACGCTTTTATTGTTACACAGGTAATCTGTCACCCTTTTAGAAAGGAACTTGATTGCATTGCGCATAGAAATCTTGGCGCTTACATCCACCGTTGATGACGAGCCAGACAACACGTTGTTTTAGATGTGATAAGGTGTTCGGTCCACAATTTACTTTCTGTAACGGGTTCTCAGATTCAGAATCACACTTTGGTCCATGGGTTGAAGAATGCTGGCCATGTTTGCCTGCAAAAATTCCATTTGTATGTCTTTCAGTCCTTCTACCTTTGGATGCGCTGTGCAATTATCCAAGTGCAACATAACTTTTCGGTCACATTGGCCTAGCTCCCTGTCCCATTCGACGGCGCACTCGGTGAAAAGTTCTTTCGACATTTACACTTTTTTGTTAGCTCTGTAAGTTACTGGAAGTGTAAGTACGTTCACGCCATTAAAGCACCGTGGTTTCTCACTTTTAAAATCAATACTACATTTCTTTTATGCGTGCCTGACATATTCATGGAGCACAGGAAAGTGATCCTATCCATAGCTTTTTCGATCTGCTGAGTTGCCCGGTAAAAAAAACCTGTCTCGTCTGCAGTGTACACGTTGTCAGCATAAAAATCATTAAAAAATTCAGGCAATCAATCTTTCAGCCAATGTTCACAGACTGCTTTGTCTGAGGAACTCTTTTAGCCATGTGTAGATTTATACACTATTTGGATTCTATTCTTCCTTCTTCACAACCGTCCTTCTGTGACAGCACAGGTTTTCCAAATCCTTCCCCGAAATCTCCTGACTTTTTCTTTAGAAGCGGGCCCGGAACTGTTTGGTTACGCTCACGAACCGAGATCAATGGAGTCTTTCGCTGCAGTTTCTTCTTCATCCTTTCCACAAACATCCTTCAAATAATCTACCGTCGCCCTTTGGACTTCGGATGGACAGTTACTTCGGTCCAATGGGAAGTGACGAGTGAGTGAGCCGATCTGCAACACCAGGACAGTTACTGTGAGCTCATTGGCAATACGTCGCACACCAAGCAGAAGTCACGTGTTAAATTCCGCACCTAATCGTCAGCCCTCGGTAGCACAGTGGTAGAGCAGCGGACCCGAAATTCGTGGACCGGGGTTCGATTCCCCGTCGAGGCAGATTTTCGTGTGGAGTTTAATCGTGACTTCTGCCTTCTACGACACATCATTTCCTTTTCTGAGATCTTGCAGTGCCATGCGATATATTCTGCCGGAGTTGCTTTTCACTGGCAATCAACCATGGCTAGGGTAGGACGAGAAATGTGTAAAACACGCGACATCTGGAGATGCCAGGTTCCTGGAAGATATGTTTTAATTTGTCCAAAACGTTCAACTTTTCTGTCAAGCACAAATCATTTCTGTTACTTGGCATACTTGTGTGTATCCAATAGAGTAGTGGCAAGTGTGAAGCGGGAAGTTTATCCGACTTTGCTCAGCTCTTGAATTTTGAATAGGGCTCACGGTTTGTCCACAGCCATTTGTACATTTAGCTTGCTCGTGTATTGAATGACATAAGTAACCTTCTCTGATCTGTCAGTAAGGTCACCGACATCCTTGTTGTTCTTGGCTCGATCGGAGGCTGTGGGGCAAGATTAATAAAAGAGTCAAAGAGAGGGCATAAAAGTGAAAAAGTGACAAGAGCATAGCCCACGCAGCTGGGCAATTTAGCGTTGGGACGACCTCGGTAACGGCCAATTAAACGGTGAAAATTTAGCCAATAAACCGGGTGGGCAACAAGGCAGATTTGGCTATATATATATATATATATATATATATATATATATATATGTATATGTATGTATATATATATATATATATATATATATATATATATATATAGTGTAGTGTTTCCAGCCATGCGTGTTGCGGATCCTTCACAATCCAGCCAGGAAGGCGAGAGCGCCCGACCGCAGCTAACTTTGATGTTACCTCCTTCATGTTCCTGGCGGAAGTCATCCGTTGGCCACCTTGCTTTCGCTTCCGGCCAACCGCTGCGCGCGCGAAGACAGCACGGCGAAGTAAGCGATGAGTAGGCATGTGAAACATATGCCCAAGCCACTGAAGTCTGCGCAGAGAAATTATGCTGCTCAGAAGTCGGCAAAGTCTGTTTGGTCTCATAATCCTCTGTCGAATACCTTCATTATCAGTGTGATGTTGCCATCGTACACCAGCAGTGATCAAAAACAGAGACTCACAACATCCTTCGCGCGAACAGGCCAAGTCACGCAGCCACAGAGCAGAACCGCTTTTACTGTGTTATTGTAAACTCGGCCCTTCAGAGATAAACTCAGATCACCTCGAATCCAGAGATGGCGGAGAATGGTAAAAGCAACCCGAGTCTTGGAGACGCGCAAAGAGACCTCATCCGTTAAACCATTGGCGCTGAGGTTGCTTCTGAGACAAACGAACATGTCTACCACTTCCAATCAATGACCTAGAAGGGTAATGGTAGGAGCAGCGCCTAGTCAATCCTGCAGGAAGACCTTTCAAGTCGATGGTTCAAATGTCATTCCAAACTGGGAGACAGAAACCTAAAAACTACACAGAATATTTTGGGCGGCCTGTGAGGAATCGCAGATTACGGAGATGTCGTGTGGATATTCCAAATCCCGAAGTCGGTCCCCGGAAGTAGCTCGACGCCGCTGGGTTCGTAGTTCTCTAGAGCACTCTCCAAGATTTCGTCCACAGCGAAATTGAACAAGGGGAATGCTGGGCAACTCTGTCTTACGCCACTGGTGATGTCAAACGGGGTGAAAGCTCACTGTACACCACAACTCGGCCTGAGCTTTGGCAGTAGATGGCTTGAAGTAAAGTGACATACTTCTTGGGCACTCCCCTTTTCAGTAGACAACTCCAGATAGCAGCGTCTCAGCGCGTGGGGAGTTTTGGGCTGGTCACATGGTGCTCCATCAAATACCACAAGAGCTAGTACGGTGCTGTGTCAAAGCCAATGCGACCGGATATAGGGTCACTGACCACCCACTTCTGTAACCAAAGGCGAGTATCCATCGGAGGGCGGATGAACAACCTTGTTGGCCACCGGCTTCTCTACGAACTGCAACCAAACACAATGAAGGCGAATAAGCCACCTACCTGTCAATGGTCTTCGTATTCGTCCTGCTGCCTTACGGGTCAGGTCATTATGACCAAAGGCGCAATGGGGTTCCTTAACTAAACCCTCTTACTCGGCCTGCGCAACCTGGAAGATCTCTGCCCGCACAACACATTAACCTTTCGAACATCCCAAACCTTTCCACTGTCTAACTGTATTCCCCTTTTTGTTGTTGCTGTTGTTGTTAACTAAGTGTTGTGACAGTACTAAGTGTATATTGGTCAGGTGTTGAATAATAATAATAATAATAATAATAATAATAATAATATACCAGAGAGCGACTCGATCAACAGGGTCAAACGCGGCTCGTGTCTAAGAAGGCAGCGATCGTTGGCCGACTACATATTTGATGATGCTCAACTATTTGGCGGTGTAAAGTTATTATCAATGCGACTCCGACCCAGCTTGCTCTTCACGTATGCTCTGTTAGCGTACCAGGCTGAGCCTCCTTAAAAGCAGAGCTGCGATCACCTTGGAAGCAACACAGATGAGACTAATCTCTCTGTGGTTAGCGCAGTCAGTTCGGGTATCCTTTCTGAAGACGAGCACGATATGCGCTAGGATTCAATCGGATGGGATAAATTCAGTGACCCAGATTTTTTGAAGGAGAAAAGTTAACTCCTGAACAAGTGATGGGTCGCCATTTTGAAAAGAGCCGGAGGGAGTTCATCTAGGCCAGGGGCTTTGTAGCGCTTTACAACGCGTAACTCATGTGCAAACTCAGCATCGGATGGTTGTGAAGCGTCTACACACCAGAGAGCACTCTGGCTTCCTGAATAGGAAGTCATGGGTGCCGCTGGCCATTTAAATTGCTGCTCAAAATGTTTGGACCAACACTCGAGTCAGCTTTTTTGACAGTGAAATGGCTCGCCAT